GTTATGATGCACGATGCAATAGTGGTGGTGGTGATTAATTGGCAATGCCGCGGGCACAGCTGGTGCATCTGTCAGTCATCTCAGTCAGTCAACCCATGGCACCTTGGTCTGTCACATGACCTCCTCCTGCCAGCAGCGAGAGCCTTCGATACTTCACGTGGCCTCAGAGTGCACCTGGCCTGGCACAGGCGCAGTGGTGATGTCACCGTCACTTAGTGGCAAATGGCGGGTATTGGTATTGATTACGTTGGTAGATTAAAGATTTTTCATACATTACAGTGCTGGTGTTAGCGGTGACGACAACGATGATGATGATGGTGGTGACGATGATGATGATGATGTCGACAAGATGGTCACTGCTATTGACGGTCAACACTGCAGATGCCTCTGGAAGGCAGTCGCAGTGGCGGTGGGGTTCACGGTGGTGCTCACGGTGGCGGGCACGGTGGTGGTCACGGTCGTGGTCACGTTGGCGCTATGGGGTGCGGGTATCGGTGATTGTATCAGAGGCTTTGGTTTCGACATTAAAAGGCAGATCGCAGCAGTCCTTTGTCTTCTGACTTATTTTTTTCTTTTTACATTCGCCGTGGTTGCTTGCTAAGCGCAGGCTCAGACGACGCTCTTGCATTTTGATTCATGTGTAACGGTGTAAATACTGCAGGAGACGAGTTGACGGAGGCAGCACGTATTTATTTATAACACCCTACAGAACAGTCATCTATACAGCCTAGGAACACAGCCTACGGCTAAGCGTGCCTGACACCGGCTACGCTCTCAGGTCCTCCGGCTATGTACTTCCTAGAGGAGGCTATCTGACCCGACCTAGCCAGGGTACGGGTCTCAACCACTGGCCCATCAAACCCGGCCCTGATAAGGACGTCGGGCCGCGAGTACCCAGGGTCTCACCACTGAGCCACACAGAGTCCCGGCCCTGATAAGGGCAGCGGGGCTAGGGGTCCCAGGGTCCTATCTGGCTTGCTCCGTCTTCATTCTTCACTGGCTTCAACGACTCCCCGAGCGCTCACGCGCACCGCCCTGCCCCCGAGGGGCGGGGCTAATGCGAATGTCAGTGTAGCCACCCATGTGCGGACAGTGATGTAGACACCGACTACGTGATGGCTCGCTTCACCCCGGTACGTACCACCTCTACACATGCAACGGGTTCGTTCTATCGATTTTGGGGTCAGAATCGCCGCCGCCTGGTGGTGATGCAGCCGGTTGTAGCGCAACTTGATTAGATTGGCCCTGCCTCCCCCCCCCCCTCCACAGTTGCCAGATCATTGCTTCCTGGACAGATTCTCCGTTCTTCGCCACTCTGATGTCTGGATATGGAACTTGTCTTCCCGAACACAATGTCAGTGTATTCATCGATTCTGGTCTCCCGGGGGCCTTCAAATGCCGAGCACCACGTGGACATCTCCGAATGTCACCACACGTTTCGGAGGAGTCGGTCTTTTGAGTTTCAGTGAACCGATGATTATGCCGATTAGACTGTACTAATGTCTGATATGGCTGTTGATCACAGTTGTACCCAATAACAAAAAAAACGTATAAAGGATGTTAGACATCCTTGGACAACAGCGTCTTTGTGTATAGGACATGGTTTTTTGCCTTGGATATCGTAAACACCATAGCCACCACGAGGGGGCGCTGTAATACGATATCAGCGGACATTAAATAAAAGCAAACACTTGGAAGTGGACATCTTTGCCCATATATGGTGTCGTGACGTTAAAGAGGGCGTGTCTTAGGTGTTTTGGATCGCTAATTAGCGATTCTGTGGCGTCAACCGATTATGCCGATTAAATTGCACTGTCTGATATGACTGTTGTTCACAGTTGCACTCAGTAACAAAAAACGTGTCAATTATGTTAGAAATCTTTGTATATAGTAGGCCATGGGGGTTTTTTTACTTGGATATCAAAAACACCATAGTTGTCATCAGGTCGTATTTATTATTTCCCTTCTACGTGACTTTACCGAAAGAACCAAGAAGATGAATCCCTGCAGTCACGAAAGCTTTAAATCGAAATAGAATAGTACCTGCCAAATAAGATGGTCAAAATATGTGTAGTTAAATCTTTTTTGCATGGTTAATAACATTTTTCCAATGATTACTTAGTGTGTACCCATCATCACGGTTGAAGTTATGTCCGTGTTTGTATATCTGGATGGCTTCGTGTACAAACCTTTGATGATGATGTACAAGAAGCCATCCTTTTTGTATTTGGATTGTCAACCAACACCGGGTAAAACATCAACATGTGCACCTATTGTACTCTTTTAGCCCCGCCCACCCCCCCCAACACGTTCCATTCATTGGCTTCCATATTCAGATAACCCCCTCCCCCTTCCCCCCCTTAACTTGTATTTAAGAGCTTGTCTCTTGGAATTTTGCCTCACTTGAGACAGTAAATCTAGCTGTGACAGTCCCACCTGATGACGGAGACTTGTGTTGCCTCCGAGACGTTGTGATTTATTATTTTATTTCTATTATTATTTCTATTATTTTTTATTTTTTATTTTAATTATTTATTTTTACCTACGTGACTTTACCGAAAAAACCTAAGAGTATATACTTACTGTTCTAATAAATGAGTGTTGTCTCCCAAGAAGTGTGTGCGTCTAAAATGAACCCATTACATTTGGTGTTAGAAGTGGCTAGCGTTAGGCGTTATCCTAGTCAGTATAGAATACGCGCGATTACTACAACTTACCTGGACGCTTCCACACTACGAGGACGGCGGGAAAATCGTCTTCAGGGCAGCTCCGGGGTCTGCAGCCCCGGTGAAGGAGGGAGATGGCGCTGCAGGCGGGGCAGCAGGACACACATCACGTCGCTGCTTCGCTGCCATCGAGAGAGAGCGCCGGAGCTGGAGGAGAGAGGACGCCGCTGCTGCTGCGGGTGCCTGGGCGGGAAATTCGCGCGCGTCCCGACCGGCCGCCAAGATGGCGGCCGGTCGGGACGTGCGCCATTTTCAACTCCTGATCCCCTGCTGATTTTGTACGTTTGCCCACTGACAAAGAAATGATCAGTCTATAATTTTAATGGTAGGTTTATTTGAACAGTGAGAGACAGAATAACAAAAACAAAATCCAGAAAAACGCATGTCAAATTTTTTATAAATTGATTGGCATTTTAAGGAGGGAAATAAGTATTTGACCCGTCTGCAAAACATGATTTAGTACTTGGTGGCAAAACCCTTGTTGGCAATCACAGAGGTCAGACGTTTCTTTTAGTTGGCCACCAGGTTCGCACACATCTCAGGAGGGATTTTGTCCCACTCCTCTTTGCAGATCTTCTCCAAGTCATTAAGGTTTCGAGGCTGACGTTTGGCAACTCGAACCTTCAGCTCCCTCCACAGATTTTCTATGGGATTAAGGTCTGGAGACTGGCTAGGCCACTCCAGGACCTTAATGTGCTTCTTCTAGAGCCACTCCTTTGTTGCGTTGGCCGTGTGTTTTGGGTCATTGTCATGCTGGAATACCCATCCACGACCCATTTTAAATGCCCTGGCTGAGGGAAGGAGGTTCTCACCCAAGATTTGACGGTATATGGCCCCGTCCATCGTCCCTTTGATGTGGTGAAGTTGTCCTGTCCCCTTAGCAGAAAAACACCCCCAAAGCATGTTTCCACCTCCATGTTTGACGGTGGGGATGGTGTTCTTGGGGTCATAGGCAGCATTCCTCTTCCTCCAAACACGGCGAGTTGAGTTGATGCCAAAGAGCTCCATTTTGGTCTCATCTGACCACAACACTTTCACCCAGTTGTCCTCTGAATCATTCAGATGTTAATTGGCAAACTTCAGACGGGCATGTATATGTGCTTTCTTGAGCAGGGGGACCTTGCGGGCGCTGCAGGATTTCAGTCCTTCTCGGCGTAGTGTGTTACCAACTGTTTTCTTGGTGACTATGGTCCCAGCTGCCTTGAGATCATTGACAAGATCCTCCCGTATAGTTCTGGGCTGATTCATCACTGTTCTCATGATCATTGCAACTCCACGAGGTGAGATCTTTCATGGAGCCCCAGGCCGAGGGAAATTAACAGTTCTTTTATGTTTCTTTCATTTGCGAATAATCTCACCAACTGTTGTCACCTTCTCACCAAGCTGCTTGGCGATGGTCTTGTAGCCCATTCCAGCCTTGTGTAGGTCTACAATATTGTCCCTGACATCATTGGAGAGCTCTTTGGTCTTGGCCATGGTGGAGAGTTGGGAATCTGATTGATTGCTTCTGTGAACAGGTGTCTTTTATACAGGTAACAAGCTGAGATTAGGAGCACTCCCTTTAAGAGTGTGCTCCTAATCTCAGCTTGTTACCTGTATAAAAGACACCTGAGAGCCAGAAATCTGTCTGATTGAGAGGGGGGCAAACACTTATTTCCCTCATTAAAATGCAAATCAATATATAACATTTTTGACATGCGTTTTTCTGGATTTTTGTTGTTGTTATTCTGTCTCTCACTGTTCAAATAAACCTGCCATTAAAATTATAGACTGACAATTTCTTTGTCAGTGGACAAACGTACAAAATCAGGAGGGGATCAATTACTTTTTTCCCCTCACTGTATTTAGGGTGTGTAGGCATACATGCCTGCAAAATCAATGTCTTTTTTAGGGGGTGGAGTGACTTTTTTTTGGGGAGGGGGGGTTGACCATTTTTGTAAACCTGTTGGATCAACTTTTTACCCCCACATCTGCGGGGGGGGGGGGGGGTCCATTTTCTATAACTTTTTGATTTATGCCTTCTGAAAGGCTCTCATCATTTAGTTGACGGACAAACGAACAAATGGGACGCCGGGCTTTTATAATAGACAAGCTCTTTTGCCCGTCAAAAGACGAGTGTATATTGCAGTAAATGTGAAATACTCAATAGAAAAATAGTTCAGCTCATGATTATTAATGAGGGGGGGGGGGGGTTGCCCCATGTGGAGTGACGTCACCCGTTAATGGTTATTGTGGAGGGCTGCGGCATGTGGAGTGACATCACCCGCTCAGGATTATTGAGGGGAAGGGTGGGCATGTGGAGTGCGCGACCTTGTGCGTTAGTGTAAATTTCCACACAGGCATGAATATTAATGAAAGGGGGGGGCCTCTTTTGCAGTGACGTCACTCACTGTGCTGCGTATTAATTTTTTACCGTCACTTTCTGTAAAGAAAAGTCATATTTGAAGCGACTTTGCGTATTATTTAATTCAGCTCGACCTTCCTCTGCGTTAGTGTAAAAACCCACCCACTCATGAATATTAATGAGGCGGGGGGTGGGCCTCATGTGGAGTGACATCACGCGCGGGACACACTCACATTATTGGCTGATTACACTGGTCAACAAAAAATTGTTTTTCTGGCCTCGACTTTTGCAGCTGTTTTAGACTAATTTCAGGGTGCCGATTCCAAATCTGATCTCAGATTTGCTCTATCACATCTAATTTTATGCTATCGGCATACCCCATTTTCATTGATTTTACCCGAAATTAACTCTGTCACTTATGATTGCAAGTTGTTGCGAGTCAGTGACTGCTTTAGTGTTAAAATTTGGTGCTGTATTTTTAGGATAGTGTGTTTATAATATCATTTTATGTAGATATCCACATTTCGTTAATATTTTTCTTCTGCAGTTTTTATTGAAAATGCAATATTTGATTTGATAGACAAAAAGTGATGCCAGATTTGGAATCAGCACCCCAACATTACCTTAAAACCGTTGGAATACCTTATGCCAGGAAAAGTATGTTGACCAGTGTTATAGTAGTATTCAAGCAAACGCAAAGGGATAGAAGAGTGAGATAAAACACGTGTGCGCGCACGATCCAGCACTAGGTGGTACAAAGACTGAGTGGGGGGGGGGCTCGCTGCTGCGGCCGCTGTCACCACTGCCGCCCGCGACGCGCGTGTTGCCTCCTCACCCTCGGGTACTGTACTGTACGCGGGAACGTGGCGGAAAATTTCGGCTTCTGAAAAATCCCACGAACAAGGGTGTAAAATCGTCGAGCGCGGTGATCGGGCGTCTGCCCCTAACTTTGTAAATCGTTTGTGCCAAACGGATTCGCGATACACCGGGGACGACTCGTGCATGCTGATGGTGATTTTGGCCGTAACTTACATAACCATTTGCCGAACAAAAACATTATAATAAAGGTCGCCGCGCTCATTACACACTAAGCGCTTGTCACAAATGAACCACAACAATATATCACTGTTCTCGTCAAGGAACATAAACCAACATCACGCGAATTACGGTCATTCTCGCAGCAGAAGCGGTTTCGGGCTAACCGTCGAACAAAGACGGTCACTGCATCATGCACTTTCAGAAACGCTGTTTCTGCGGCCATCTGGAACGCTCTTCCTTCAGGTCGCCGCGCTCATTACACACAAAGCGTTTGCCACAAATTAACCACAATATATCACTGTTCTCGTCAAGGAGCATAAACCAACATCATACGAATTACGGTCATTCTCGCAGCAGCAGCGGTTTCGGGCTAACCGTCAAACAAAATGGTCACTGCATCATGCACTTTCAGAAGCGCTGTTTCTGCGGCCATCTGGAACGCTCTTCCTTCGGATATTAGGAAGCCACTGGGAGCTATGCACTTTTAAATCTACATTGAAAACGAATTTCTTTAGAACTACTTTGTGCGTTTATTGTCCTTCCCCCCCCACACCTCCGATTTGCGTGGTTGCCTACGTACGGTGCGAAAGGAGTTCAACGTACACACACGTACGTACGTTCGTGTACGTGACTTGGCGGGTGTTATGGAACTTTACGTGGCCGGTCTCATTCCACAGCTGTGGGGCAACGGCTGGAGAGGCCAAATTGTTTTTTTGTCACAACAAGTTCGCCACGCGAACGGGCGGTAAGAGGCGGACGCGTGCTGGCATGAAGATGCACGAACTCCGGCTCTATGCTGCTGTGGGATGCGAGCGACATTACCACCGCGTGTCAGCCCAACCAGCCAGCCGGCAAACTGTTTTTCAAATTTTGGGTTAAATATCGTATTTCAGCTCTCCGTGCCGGCATCATTTCTCGAACATGAGAGGCGAGGGACTTCTCCGAACCGCGAGCGCGCTTTCACTCTCGGGGCTTTTCCTCCGCGTGGCTCCTCCTGTGCGTTTTGAGCGCACCCGAGCGCTGGAATGCCTTCTCGCACAGGTCGCACTTGTAGGGCTTCTCGCCCGTGTGCACCATCATGTGGGCGCGAATCCCCCCGGCGCACGAGAACGCCTTCCCGCACGCGGCGCACTCATACGGCTTTTCGCCCGTATGGATCCTGTTGTGTATGCGTAGGGCCACCGGCTCTGCAAAGGCCCTGCCGCAAATGGCACATGCGTACGGCCTCTCGCCCGTATGCGTCCTCTTGTGCCCGAGGAGGACCCTGGCCTGCGCGAACGCCTTCCCGCACACATCGCACACATACGGCCTCTCGCCCGTGTGCCTCCTCCTATGTATCAGGAGGTACTGCGACCGGGCGAACGCCTTGCCGCACACCGAGCACTTGTAGGGCTTCTCGCTCGTGTGGACACTCTGGTGCCGGACGAGGGCGCCCGACTGCGAGAACGCCTCGCCGCACTCGGCGCACGCGAACGGCTTCTCCCGCGTGTGCGTCCGCTGGTGGCTGCGGAGGTGGTCCGAGCGGGAAAACTCCATGCTGCAGACGGTGCAGTGGTAGAGCTTCTTGCTGACGTGCGTGCTCCTGTGCGAGACGAAGCTCGTCGCCTTCGCGAACGTCGCGTTGCAGACGCCGCACCGGTAGGGCTCCTTGCTGGCGTGTGTCCTCTGGTGCTCGTCGAGGTCCTGCGACCGACTGAATGCCAGTTCGCAACCAGTGCACTTGTAGGGCTTCTCCTCGGAGTGCGCCGCCTGATGCTCACGGAAGACCTCGGCGTCTATAAAGACCTTGCCGCACTTCCCGCACTTGTCCGACGCGCGAGCGTCGTGCGTCGCCTGGTGCTCGATGAACACGTTCAGCTTGTCCGTGTTGAACGGGCAGTGGGGGCACCGGAACAGCGTGGGCTCGGTACACCCCCTGTGCCGCTTCATGTGGTCGTCTAGGGCGGGCAAGCTGACCACGAGCCACTTGCAGATAGGGCAGAAGATCTTCATCTTTGCTCCGTCCGTCCTATCAGCACTGGGACACGCAGGGCAAAGCACAAATAAGGAAATCAATTCTCTCCTCGTGTCTTCACGTCAACCCTTTTCCCATGTCCAAGGCGACTGCCAGTTCAGAATCAGAATCAATGTTTAATCTGATGAGCTATAAAGCTATTTTTTCACAGATGTCCAGTAGGAGCACGGGGTCAGAACTTAACAACAAACAATACACAAACACAATAGGAGTGCAAAGTGTAGAAAAGGTGGACAGCCAGATGTGTCCGCCTGATGATGCTCGTTGTTGTAATTACTGGCGAAACGGCACAGTACTCAGATTGTAAATCTTGTGGATTTGCTCTCCAACACACAACCGGTGGAGTACATTATACACTACACTATATACTGCAGACTATACACTACACACTATGCACGACACTATATACTGCACACTATACACTACACACTATACACTACACGCGATACACTATACACTACACACTATACACTACACGCTATACACTGCACATTATACACTATACACTACACGCTACACTATATACTACACTGTACACTACACACTATAATATACACTACACAATATACAGCACACACTATAGTTGTAAATATTGTAGATGTACTCTCCCAACATACAACTGGTGGTGTACTACGCTATACACTCCACTGTACACTCCAATATAGACTACACTACACACTACGCTGTACACTACACACTACGCTATACACTACACTGTACACTGCACTATATACTCCACTATACACTACGCTGTACACTACACTATACACTACGCTGTACACTACACTATACACTACGCTGTACACTAAACTATACACTACGCTGTACACTACACTACGCTACGCTGTACACTACACTGCTCTCCAACACATAACCGCTGTGGTGCTGTACTAGTAACGAATTGGCATGCTCTGTTTGTGTGACAAACCTTACTAATTGGCCGTGTCGGGTGGTGGCGGGTTTAACAACATAACAACATTTATATATTTACGCGATCTAACCCACAAACACATTCCTGTGGAGGGAGCTGGTGGTAGGAACGTTGGGTTGCTCGGTCAATGGCCAGGGTCAACGGCGGCGTGGTGTATTCCGCAAATATGGCCGACTGTGAGGGCGGGCACAAGCCGGCGTGAGTAGGTTAAACGTTGAGTTTTATAAGGGCACCACGGGGTGACCAGCCCCTCCCCACCCAGCCCCACCCCTCCCACCCCCCACCCAGCCCCACTCTCTCCACCCAGCCCCTCCCCACCCTCCCCACCCAGCCCCTGCCTCCCCACCAGCCCCTCCCTGCACGACGGACACAATAATCCCCTGTGGGCTGGTGTAACCAGGAGGTTCCTACCAGTATAACCCTCTATTCTGGACTCCTACTACGTATTAAACCAATTGTTGTTTGTCGAGAAACTCACTCTCCCATTTTTTTGGGGGGAAGTGGTTAGATTCGCGTAAATATGTTACATTGAACGTAAATAATATATTTGTTATATTAAGTATAATATTTTTTTATTATATTTTATTATAAACCAAATCTGGGGTTGTCCACTCACGCTCGCGTCTGCTTCCGCCTCCGATTCACAAACATCCGGGCGCGACGTCACTGTCGGAATGAGGGGTGACGTGACGTCACTGTCAGGATAGGGGAGAACGTGACGTCACTTGCAGGATAGGGAGGGACATGACGTCACGATCAGAATAGGAAGAGACGTGACGTCACGGGCACGTACAAGTTCAAGTTCATTTATTAGGTATAGCCCTGTGAGCCATTCAGCTCTTGAATCGGGTGCAACCGCAACAAACAAAAAACATGAACAAAAAACATCTTAAAGTGAATATGTGACTAAGTGCAAACAGAAAATTCAAGAAAAGACAGCAAAAATATTGCAGAAAAAACACCGTACACCAACGCTGTGTGCAAAAATCTCAGTGGGATGCAAGTCAAACAACAACAACCACAAGACAGCTTAGATTAAGGCCATCAGTCTAACTCTGTACTACAACAAACAAACATGGCTAAACCAATACACTTTTCGAAATCACCAAAATAAAGCCATGAAAGCAATGAAAAAGCAACCATAGGAACTGTGACGGAATTTTCACAATAAATGGCATAAACAACATCTACTACCAAAACCCTGCAGCCATAGCTGGCTGCATGAGTCACTCCACAACAGCAGGAGCATCAATCGGAGTATTGTAATTTTTCAATGCACCTTTAAGATCAGCACACTAAATCAAAACACAGGTCATACTTTGTAGCGATCATCCGGAGCGAAACATTTAATTTTAGGTCACTGAATAGCACTGGCAGCTAGGGGTGTACAACTCCTCTAGAGCAGTTTTGAGTGAAGATCTCATAGGTAGTGAAGTTCTGCTTGCGGCCTTACAAAGATAATGCAGTACTGTACGGACAGTACGATACATGTAGTACTGTGCATACAGTACGCACAGTACGATACATGTAGTACTGTACATACAGTACGCATAGTGTGGTACATGTAGTACTGTGCATACAGTACGCACAGTACGATACATGTACTGTACATACAGTACGATACATGTAGTACTGTACATACAGTACGCACAGTACGATACGTGTAGTAATGTACATACAGTCCGCGCAGTACGATACATGTAGTGCTGTGCGTACAGTACGATACATGTAGTACTGTACATACAGTACGCAGTGCTATACATGCGGTACTATCCACACCGTACAGTACTGTATAGTGCTGTGCGTAGTGCTGTACAGTACGTGCCGTGCTGTATATACAAGAGGCGACGTTTCGGGCAATGACCCTTCTTCATGGCACGTGATTCGAGGGGGCTGAGGTGGCTAGGAGATGTTGACTACCTCGCCTGGTGTGCAGGAGTGCGTGGGTTCGATCCCAGACCCTGACGATGCCTGCTGCTGCTGTGGAGAGGCTGGTGGAGTTCCCATAACTCAATTGAAAACTAATTTCTTTAGATCTGCTTCTTGTATGTGTTGTCCTTTCCCCCTGCACCTCCGATTATCACGGTGGGCTACGTACGGCGCGAAAGAAGTTCAACATACATACACTGGACTGTCCACTACACAATAATATACACTACAAAATAATATACACTACACAGAAAAAAAATCTAAATTTGAAAACTAATTTTCTGCCTAAAATATTACAAAATTCACTAACACATGGGATGGACTATTAATTTTTTTACAATGTCTCAGTGTATTGTATTACATTGCTCCGTTTTTTCTTTTTTACCTTTTCTTGTTTCATTGTATGTAATGGCAGAGATTATGGATTAATAAAATAAAACCATAACCACAATCATATTAACATAAATCTATGCATTGATTTATATGAAGTCCAGATATTGTGGCCAAGGTTTAGCAAATTGTTTTATTTACATAGCATAGCAATTATATTTTATAGCAATATATTAGGGGGGGGCATTTTGTGATAGGCAGGGTGGCTTCTAACGAGAGCTACCACATAGCTCAGTGGGGCCTTACCTGGTAACAAAAAATATATAGTTTAATATATGGGTCTCTGTGGGTCTCTGTGTATCTCTATGGGTCTCTGTGTATCTCTGTGGGTCTCTGTGGGTCTCTGTGCATCTCTGTGGGTTTCTGTGTATCTCTGTGGGTCTCTGTATCTCTATGGGTCTCTGTGTATCTCTGTGGGTCTCTGTGTATCTCTGTGGGTCTGTGTATCTCTATGGGTCTCTGTGTATCTCTGTGGGTCTCTGTATCTGTGGGTCTCTCTGTATCTCTATGTATCTCTATGTATCTCTGTGGGTCTGTGTATCTCTATGGGTATCTGTGTATCTCTATGGGTATCTGTGTATCTCTATGGGTCTCTATATCTCTGTGGGTCTATGTGTGCCAAGGTGTCCACTCCATCATTAGACCTCCTTTGCCAGTACCAAAATATAATAATAGGGCTTTTCCCCTTTTTTCTGGCAATAAAACTGAAACCTTTTTACGAGGAATCATGTGTGCATTAACCACAATACTTGTGGTCAAGATGCAAACAAAGAACACTCTGATAATAGATGCACACAGTGTTGGTGTACGGTGCTTTTTCTGCAATATTTCGCTGTCTTTTCTTGGATTTTCTGTTTGCACATAGTCACTTTGTTCATGTTTTTTTGTTTGTTGCAGTTGCACCCGATTCAAGAGCCGAATGGCTCACAGGGCTATACCTAATAAATGAACTTGAACTTTAACTTGATAGGTCCACACCAGAGAAACATTTTTGACGCGGAAGATCGCCCTGGCGGTTTGGGTCTTCCGCAAAGCTGCTCACGGTCCAACCTAAACCGCATCGTCCACTGCACAAGCCATGGCAAGCGGTCGATGTGGACGACACCAGACGATGCACAAATCCTCACACAGGTGTCTTCACATTTCATCGGCACCTCGACGTCGCTTGGAGTCACGCCGCAAGCCCCTTTGGACCCCATGCGCTTCATCTTC